ATTATGGGTTTTGAATATAATATGATTTTGAATATTAAATGTAAGAAAAAATATCTATGAATTTTCTGTGGTTTAAAACATGTTAAGATAAGTATTGATAACCGGTAACCACTGATAGAATTGGTTTTGATTTTAGATAGTTTAAACGTTAACCATTTCTTAGAAGAAATAATATCAATATTAGCTTATGTATTTTAAGTTAGTTCCAATAACTGGATCTAAGATAAAAAAGCCTTTGATAAAAAAAAGCTACAGAATAAAAATCCATGGGATAAAAAAAGATACTGATTTATTTTTGAACCAAAACAATTTACTACAATGTATTTATTAGTATTTATTTTCAAATTTGATGCAATTAATACAATTTATTAATTAAAGTTCAAATTTTAAATTTTAAAATGTAACATTAAAAAAAAAATTAAAATTATTTTATTGTGTAAGCAATAGCTGTCAAATATTCATATGTAGTTCGGTGTGTTGTCAGCACTACATATTTTATATAATTTTTTTTGAAATTTAAATTGCCTATTGCAAATTGGGCTAACTTTATATTGTCAGAAGACAACTCTAACCTCGTTTTTAAATTAAAATCCAAATAGAAGGAAAATTGTGACATACTAATTTTGAAAGCCGATGGTTCCACCCTTCTGTTTGGTTGTTGGTTCGATGGTCATTATTAATGGTAGTTTGAAGGACATTCCATATTGATGGTGGATAGAGTGGTGGAATATTTCGAAGTCTGATACCATTATTTGGATTATTTTGAACACGTCTGTAAGAACCATGGACATAAGTGGTATAAAAATAATCTACCAAATCTATTGCTTCCGGTGGCATAATTGTTCTTAAAAAATCCATTCAATCTAATACTTTGTTTCTGGTAAAAATGCTAGACTATCGGGTTTTCTTTAAAATGAACTAAAATGGTTATTATTACAGTACATATTTTCAAGTCCAAGACTGTATTTTCCCATGAGTGTTTTGGGTGAGATGATAAAACCACCCTTTAATACAAATATATAATTTCCAATAGTATTTTTTAATGCTTCAATCACAGCCTTTTTAAAATCCACGTGTTCTATGAGAGGATCAAGATACATTTCCCTCTCATTACATTTTAGATTCTGGTAGGTACGATGAATGTATTGATTTTACAATGATGTGTGTTTTTTTATTTTTATTTTTTGTGTTTGTTATAACCTTTTAGGACAGTAAAACTGCTTCGATTTTCTTTAACAGCAACTTTTCTGATTGGAAAGTGAATCTAGTTGGTACTTTGAGGGGTCAAAAGTAAAAATTTCCCAGTAGTTTTCATAAGTGAAAAACAAAAGAAAATTAAGGAAAAACGGGAATTTTTACGCAAAATCGATTTTTAACAAAATCGATTTTGGTTTTTGGTGTAACTCTAAAACAAATGGCCGTAGATATATGAAATTTTCACAGGTTGTTTATATTTGCATTTTCTATACACGGTAAAATTTTGAAAATAATTTGACTCTTTTTGAACTGTTTACGGACATTGTCAGTTTTCAATTTTTTTAGTTTTTTTTTCTATAAATATCAATTAAATTTTATTTGTTGGTTAAAAAAACTTGAAAATTTAACACAAGGCTCCTAGTATATTGTTTCAAAGGCAGATGAAAAAAATTAAAAATCCTTAGTCACAGTTTTTTTTTATAAGCATTTAAAGTTCAAATATTGACAAAATACGTAAAAACGACGAAAATTTGGAAATTATTTTAAGTTAGAAATTCATAAAAAATTTTGTTTTTAAACCTAAGATTTTAAAATTTAATACAAGATTTCTCATAAGTTTGTCTATCTTTATCAAAAAAAAAATTTTTAGAAGAAAGTCAAATTAAATTTTTATGAGCGTTTGAAATTCATATTTTTACAACATTTGATATTCACTCGATTTCTCATGTAACGATTTTCTGTTTTTGTTGTAATTAAAAAACGAATGGCTGTAGATACTTGAAAATTTCACTGAATGTTGATATTAGCATTTTCTAAACACGATAAAATTTTGAAAATAATTTGACTCTTTTTGAGATGTTTACGGACATTGTCAATTTTCAATTTTCTTAGTTTTTTTTTCTATAAATACCAATAAAATTTTATTTGTTGGGCGAAAAAGCTTAACAATTTAATACAAGGCTCCTGATATATTTTTACAATAGCAATTGTAAAATTTTTAAAATACATAGGCACTATTTTTTTTATAAGCATTTAAAATTAAAATTTTGACTCAGATATATTGGTATTAATATCTCTTAAACCAAGACTGACATACCGTCTCCACTCAGAATCGTTTTTCTTATACAATGATATTGTATCATTGAATTCAAATTTAATTCCATCCATTATACAGTGACCCACTTGTAACCTACTGTACAGCAGAGCGACATCCACTTACCCGCTTTTTTCTAATACAATTTTAATCAATTGTTCATATGTAGACTGGGTTTTTCTTTTTAATAAGCAAAATACAAGTGTAATAAATATTGATTTTACTTGACATATTGTTGTTGGAATTCGGTCGGCGATAATGCAAAGTTGCCATCCATAAACCATTCTTCAGCTTCAGATAACAATTTTAACCCGTCATCTGTGGTGAAATTGTGAAAATTGTTATACGTTCATCTAAGTAAGAACCATTATCGTATAGCAAAAATCTTTTAAAATTGCGCTCACCAATTGTGCACCAATTACCTATTATTTATTAATATTTGATAAAAATTAATCTTTATTCATATATTATAAATTATTCTTAATTTTTGTACCTTCGATTATAGTAGAATTATTTGAACAGTTTTTGTAACTTAGTCTTCTTAAAATACGTTTTACCATTTCTTCAGTGGGCATTATAGCTTTAGTTGCTGTTTCTATTTTGGATACATTTTCCGTAAATATTTCTACAGGATTTATCATACTAGAAGAAGTTACTTGATGCTTCATTTTCTGTTTACATTTTTTTAGGATTTTTTTTCTACATGATTATTATGTTGCAATCCAATATACATAGTCCCCGTACAGTTGAGAGAACTTGCTTTCATAGAACGCCATGTTATTTTATTTTTCCCCAAATGCTTAACGACGTACACGTGACCATTAAAACAAATTTTATTACCCCCTTTGTTAGTTTTGACAATTTCCATTACACAAATTTCAAAAAACATCGGCGAATAAACTAATAAATAATAATTGTTCACAAATTTAACACATTTATTTTATTTCACGACATTTACACCGCACACAAACTGAGCATATCGGAGACTAAATAGCGCATAGAAGATAAAATTTTACCAACCTCCTGATAATTTCTATCAACCTATAACAATTTTGATTATAGACACAATCACACAGTATATTGTTCGATTGCCTTCCAAATACTTATGTTTCAAATTATTGTCCATATGATATGAACACCAATAAGTAGGTTTATAGTAATACGCGGACTAAGATACAGCGATAAGGTTAGTCCAGTTATTAGTGAAAAATGATATGGTCAGACGATAAAGTTTATTTAGTAAGCCTACTAATAATAATATAATAATAGGAAGACTTAAATATGTCACGCAAAAAGACCCGTATTTTGGTATTTTTTTTCATATTATAGTTAAATTTTCAAAATATTTCTCTTATTTTTAGCAATTAATCTTTTAAAATTATATTAATTGTATTACATTTTAAAATAAATAATAGTACATTGTAGCATGACATTTGTAGTGAATTGTTTTGATACAATAATAAACTCGTGTCTTTTTTATCCATGGCTTTTTTGTCGGTGGCATTTTTATCCGATTACCCCAATAACAAGTTGACGCTGTTACAAAGGTTTTAGTCAAATTTTTTTTTCGTTCTTCAGATTAATTGAACATGACCCTTCCCCTTACCCAGTATTCAGTTAGTTTACCTCTGGAAAGCTAGATTGATGAAAAAAAAAGGGTGGGTGAGTACCGCCCTACTATTATGCTAGTCTACTAGCACGGCGCATCCGAGTTGGGTCCCGAATTCTAGGGGCTAATCGCAGGTGCTATACTAGTTGGGTCCCGGATTTTTAAAGCTACTATACTAGTTGGGTCCCGCATTATTATAGTTCCTGAATATTTGTTGGTAAGTACAACACTATACTAACATTTTCATCCCATTTTAACAGACTGTCTATGATCTATTTAGACCACAGGTATGGTTAAAAATGTTTTTTACTGTATTTTTTTAAATATTAAAGTATAAGTAATTGATAGTTAGTAAAAATATTTTAATAATTTAAAATATTATACAATAATATTAATACAATTTTATAAAATTGAAAAAAGGAAATGAATATTCGTAATAAAAAAAGACGTATGTGGTTTTTGAGCATTCGTGTAATAATTTCAGTGTTATCGAGAATATCTGATAATTTTTGACATATCTTATAATAAACTATCTGGAACAGCGATAAATGCCGGTTAAACCTCGACGAGTTGGTTAGGTTAAAAAAAAAACTGTAAAAAACATTTTTAACCATACCTGTGGTCTAAATAGATGATGGACAGTCTGTTAAAATGGGAAGGAAAATGTTAGTATAGTGTAATACTTACCAACAAATATTCAAGAGCTAGTGTTGTAGCTAAAATAATTCAGGACCCAACTAGTGTAGTAACTATAAGAATCCGGGACCGAACTAGTGCAGTACCTAAAATAATTCGGGACCCAACTAGTGTAGCAGTTATAAATTCGGGACCCAACTCGGATGCAGCCGAACTTATATTATCTATAAAAATAATTGTGTTTATTTTATATTTAGATTTTTTTGATCACAGTATTAATTATACTTATACGGAAAACTTTGTTTCGCTACGATTAGTACCAATGTAAATTGTTGGTATAAATCGTTTGATTCGATTAGTTTATAAACATTACCCAACATATTGTAATAAAATGTATAATTAATTAAAAATATAATTTTTTTTTTAGAAATTTGGTAAAATTGCAGACGCAATTATTAACCCACAATGGACATTAAATGTAAAGTATAGGTTATTATTTTAATAAATAAAATAAATACAATACATAAATATTTTTTTTTGTTATTTGATTTTTAATATTATGTCATTCAGGACCCAGATTCAAAAAAAACGGTAAGGTGATTACATTATGCGGAAAAAACTTTTGATTATTGTTTCAATATAAAATGGATTTTAAAACTTTTTAATTTTCAATCTTATTCAGGATCCAGATAATACAGATCCAAACAACAAGGTAAGACAATTTCAAAATGCTTTATTATTTTATAATTTTTGTTACAATATGATAGATTATAATTTATTGTATTTTCTTTGTTATTTATATTTTTAACTCGATTTTCTCTCAGAGTCATTGAAGTTCACAGCTTACGAAAACCATACTTGGGCATAAATTATTGACATCAGTACCGTAACTAAAGGAGGCTTCAGGGCTGAACTACACACTGGCCCTAGCAATAAAATATTGTAGCTCCCCCCGAAGAAAAAAATCTTGGATATGGTACTGACTGACATCTTAAAAAATATCGTCAAACCTACTCTAGAGAGTAGCATATATTCTATAGAACCATAATGTTTTTTTTTTTTAATGTTTGACTACCTCTACTAAAAAATCTAATTATAAAAATAAATATTTAAGATGAAGATACGTTGGAAAAAAACATTTGCTAATTTCAAATTCAGAATGTATTTTTGTATGCTGTTCATTAGTATCAATATCTGTTACTGTAAAATAAAAATAACATTGAAATATTTTACACCTGCGTCAGAAAATGTTTTAAAAAACCAACACATACTATTTTCAGGCTATGGATTATTTTTTTACAATAATAAATACATTTTTTTTTTTAAGTAGAGTTCATAGATTCATAGATACTTGTCGTAATTTATGTGGATCTAGAAAACTATACAATTGGTGCAAGATTGTTCTTGAAATATTTAAAAATAGACTCTATTCTAGAATTTAGTCTCCTTTTTTTGCAAAATTAGGTTAGGGTTACGTTAGGCTAGGTTAGGCTAGGTTAGGTTAGGAATAATTTATTTGATTATTATCACCCTTTATTTTTCCATAAATTTATACTGATGAGCTCATACTCTATTAACAATTTAAAATTTACAATCACGGAGAAACAGAACAATATTTATTCCTTTTATTTTATTTTTTGATATTTAAGAATACAAATATAATTTTAATTAATCAAAAGTATTTATTAAGTCAGTGTCATTTTCCAATGGTAATGATTGTGTATAGTGATGGGAAAAATTATCTTGGCCTTGCAGTATTGGTCTTGGTCTTGCAGCAAGACCGAGACTACGAATTGCTTTGCAAGACCAATATATACAAGACTGAGTCTGCAAGACCAAAACGAAAACAAGACCCACAATGCAAGAGTCTTGCAGTCTTGTAAAATGAATTGAAATTTTGTTCTAAACAATTTTCACAGGAAACACGTAATTAAGTGTAGAATGATACAAATATGAAATATTAATTCAGTACGTGTCACAATGATCATTGATCAATATATTAATAAGCATATTAGTCTAATCTACCTATTTAAAGCCATTGCCACACCATATAATTAGTAGTTGCAGTGTTGTACAATATGCTATATATAGGTAGGTATAGATTTAAGGTGTACAGGCTTGAAGCAATCCTCAGTCCTTTGACAACAAATGAGTAAGTGACTGAGTTTTATGAGGATTTGACCCACCACCAACCCTCCCAAAACAATAGATTCAGAAAAACATGGTTCGCTATGCCACTGGTTCTAATGACAAGAAAGTTAGCGTTAGTAAATATTTCATTGTTATGTTTTAGAATGATGTAAACAATTCAAAGATACCAAATAATGATAAAGATGATTCTCATAATGACAAAAAAAGAAGGCCAAAAAAAAATAATAATAAAAATAGAATTCGTAAGAAATCCAATAATCAAAGAAAAAGAAATAACAGAAGACAAAATAATACAAGACGTAATGGAAGATACAGATGGTACAGATTGGTTACAGTGGATTATTTACTAGTAAGCAAAATAATATTTTTTTATTAACACTGAAAACAATTTTTAATCCCTTTATTTTAAATTAATACATGAGAAAAAAGTAAATTTTCTACATTTCAATAATTGAAAACCGCTAAAACTTAGAATAGAATAACATTACTTAATAAGTAATTAGACATTTTGGTAAGGGTAATTTACCAGAATATAGAAATCATGAAGATGAACAGAAAATTGTATTGATATGGGACGATGGCGATAAAGGACAAATTTTACTGGACGAACATATTGACGAATTACCAATGAAAAATGTAAGATTTATTTTAAAACTTAATCTCTAAAAAATGAATATTACTTAAATACATATTTATATTGTAGATACACTATTATTTTTAAATTTTAAGTAAGTACATAATGTGTGCACCAATTAGGAATATAATAATATTAAAATTGTAAAAATTAAAAATACTGAGAATCAGGCTAAAAATATTGAACATTATACAATTACATAAAAATGATACATTACTTAATTAGAGTACTATGTCTAATTTTATTTAAAATATGTTCCAGTTAAATACTAACCAATTAATACGGAAAAAAAGAGATTACACTAATACACTTCAACTTCAAGATAAATTACAAACCAAAAATATTAAGCAACACGATTCAAAAGAAAATGAAAAAGATAAATTAAATACTAAAGCAAGCGCAAACGATCATACCAGATACGTAGATGCACAAAATAACAAATTAGAAAATATACAAAATAAGCAAAACGTTAAAAAGAAGAAAACGTATAAAAACCTCGAAAAGTCCAGAGAACACTACAGTTTTGAAGAGAAATCAAGTTCAATTGATAATTTAGAGGAAGATGAAAATAGTATGAATAGTAATATTATTGATAATACTAATGAAAACATGAAGTTTTTAAATTTAAAAAATTCAAATAAAAATAAATTTCAACACATAGTAAATAATAGAAAACATCCAAGAAATATATATAGAAAAATTCAACCATATAAACACAAACTAAGGCAACCAAACCATGCACAACATTTAGGTAAAAATTATGGAAATAATAACAGTGAAATGGAAAGATCACATCTGAAAACTATTGGAAAAATGCCAGAAAATAAAAACGACACACCAACAATATCAAACGATGTACAAGAATTGACCATTGAACGAAAAGCTGACACACCCATTCATGAACTCAGTGAAATTGATACACTTATTGATGAAAACTCAAATTCAGCTGAAAATCAAGATGATCAGAATTATGAATCATATTCATCATCATCATCATTAGAAACAGAACAAGAAATACCAAATTTCAAGGGTATCGAAGACAATAAAGAACATGACATTTTGTACAATATAAGACATCCGATGAAATCTAAATTAAAAAAAATAGGTAAAAAGCAGTCAAATGATAATGAAAAACTGCAAAATAGACATGAAAAAAAAATAGTTAAACCATTAAAAGTCAGTAATATTGAAGAAAAGGTATCACATCAGAAAACTATTAAACCAAACTCACCAAATTCAAAGGATATACTAATACTATCATATGATGAACCAGAACTTACGACAGAAGTAAACGATGACATTGCCACACAACTCCCTACAGTTGATGAAATTGATGCATCTATGGACAAAATGAACTCAAATTCCGATGAAAATTTGGATGATCAGAATAATGAATCATCTTCATCCTCATTAAAAACAAAACAAGGAATTCCAAACTACAGCGATATCGAAGATAATAAGGAACGCGACATTTTAAATAATATAAAACACCCATTTGAACCAACAACAAAAAAATTAAGAAAAAAAATCTCAGAAGATAATGCTAAATTGCCAAAAATATACAAACAAAAATCATCTACACCGTTAGAAACAACAAATAGTGAAGAAAAAGTACCTAAGCAGACACCTATTAAAGCACTCAAACAAACTTCAAACAACGTACCAAGCAAATCAATTGACGTACCAAAACTAACCAAAGGAGACACCACGGAAATTGGCACGGAAATTCCTGCAGTTGATGAAATTGATACACTAATGGACAAAATGAACTCGAATGCTGGTGAAAGTTCAGATGATCAGAATTACGAATCGTCTTCGTCTTTATTAAACACAAAACAAGACATTCCAAACTACAGCGATAACGCAGATGACAAGGAACGCGACATTTTAAATAATATAAAACACCCATTTGAACCAACAACAAAAAAATTAAGAAAAAAAATCTCAGAAGATAATGCTAAATTGCCAAAAATATACAAACAAAAATCATCTACACCGTTAGAAACAACAAATAGTGAAGAAAAAGTACCTAAGCAGACACCTATTAAAGCACTCAAACAAACTTCAAACAACGTACCAAGCAAATCAATTGACGTACCAAAACTAACCAAAGGAGACACCACGGAAATTGGCACGGAAATTCCTGCAGAAAAAGAAATTGATACACTAATGGACAAAATGAACACGAATGCCGATGAAAGTTCAGATGATCAGAATAATGAATCGTCTTCATCTTCATTAAACACAAAACAAGAAATTCCAAACTATAGCGACATCGCAGATAATGAGGAACGCGACATTTTAAATGATATAAAACACCCATTTGAACCAACATCAAAAAAGTTAAGAAAAAACCTCTCAGAAGATAATGAAGACCAACTGGCTTTGGTACCAGCGACGGTTACAATTCCAAAATCAAAAACCGAAATTAAGATCGATACCCCACTGGACGATGAAGTAAATAAAGGCCATAATAGTAATGTTCAAAAAATGTCTCTACCAAAAACTGTGTTACCTGGTCCCGTCGGCGATATTAATAGTGGCAGAGATATCGATTTACGTATTCTCAGTATTCCGAAAGACAAAGATGAAGAACCAAAAAGTGTAAATGGAAAACAAGAAGTAGTTGATCCAGACCATAAATCAGTTACAAATCCAGTTGATCAATTATTAGATGGTCAAACGGATGTTGGAGGTTCACAATCGTCTCCCATTGACTCTGATGATATAAATGATATTATAAAGGCAATGGATGAAGAAAATTTACAAAAC